CAAAAGGTAAGTGAATTTGGTAGGATTTGGGTTGAGCCCTAAAATAGAGCTGACTGCAACAATAATACCCTGATCCTGGTTGGGATCAATTGGCATTGATGCAATCTAAACTCCATCTGTTGGGAGGCCAGATAGTTCTGCAGGCATCTATCATAATTGATAACAGTGGACTAGCAGCTATAAACGGATCCACTGGCAGATCTTTACTTTTGGTTCTTTGGTTGTCTTGCCTACATTCCATGTGCAGCCACATAAATTATTGATCTAATCAGATTCCTGGGGCAAGTTTTTCCTAAGTTACAGCAGTATAACCCATCTTCAGCAGAGGAGCATTCTGCTTGTTTGAACGTTGAATTTAAGCAGAATTACCTTAATCTGGTGTCAGCCCAAGTAGAAAGCAAATGTTGGCTTCAAAGCTACCTGATAGTTATTTTTTTTCCTTCCTTTCTGCTTACATACTTCCAACTGAAAGCAGCTTTCTTAATGAATCTGCAAAAATTATTCTCTGCTGTTAAGAAATGATTAAAAATTCAGCCCCATAAGTTAGTCAGCTTGCTACCTCATTTAATCAGCAGGAATTAATACTTCCTATGTTATCTTGATATTTTTGCCTTTACTATTACGTTATTTCTACTTGTTTTTATTATTCTCAATTGGCCAGTGCTATTAAAATCCTTGAGATGACAGAGTTTGCGTTTGGCTTGTTGCATGGGGTTGTGAAATGGAGGGGAGGATAGAGAAAGATGACCATGAACAGGTTTCAGACTAGAAGACATAGACGTCTTAGTTGAATAATAGTAGTGTTGGGATGCTAGAGAATTATCCTGTAACTAGTCACATAATACCTTCTGAATTTGTTCAACAGGTGTGCTTTCCAGTATGCTGTATGAGTAGTTAAACAGAGCATAAGAGCAGTGTCATCTTGGCAATGAGTGCTATTATCAAAACTACTTACTCACAGAAATGCAGATACAATTTAAGCTTTAACAGCTATTTGAAAATTTAAGGAACTTGTATAGCAATTTGGGTAGACAATACAAGACAGCATTATCTGACTGAAATAGCTGTATCCTTGAACCAGATGTTTTCAGATTCTGCACATTAATGGCTTTCACATAGGGACTTAGTATGCAGAAATCACTCAGCACTTCGGGCAAATATGCCTTGGGCTTCTTGTCCTATCATATTCTTCTGTGAGGAGCGCATCAGAAGCCACTCAAAGTGAGTGGGAATTATGGGGGCTTAAAATCAAACTGTCATCTTTCATCATGCCATCTCCTCTTCCCAATTCACTAGTGCTGCTCTCATACAACACCTGCAGAGCAGGGACAATCCTGTGATACAATTGTGGTGTTTGTAAGCATTGTGATCCAACTGGTAGATCACCCTGTCTTTGCAGGTAGGCATCTTCTTGACTACCTCTGCCCCCACAGCACCTGAGAGGGCAAGCTGGTTATTTCTCCTTGGGGATTAAGAAGAGGGTACTGACAAGTTGTGCTCAAAGGATCTCTTGTCCTGAACTATGTTCAGGGTAGCACAGCACTGCTTCAGGGCTCATCTTAACGGGGGGTGAGTAGAGGCTTCAGAAAATCAGGATGCTTTTCAGAAACTTGCACACAGCTGTAATAGTAGTGCTTCTGTATGGGACCTGTCCTCATCAGTTTGAAGTAGACGGATGAACCATTAAACTCTTGTGTGAAGCATTGCTCCTGTTAGGAATGTGCAAGAGCTATTGGGCTGATCAGTGTTCCTGAGGCTTCCAGTGGCTTTTCACACGCCGCCCCAAGGAGATGGAGGAACCAGGTGCTATACCCCTATTCCTATTCTGTTTCTCCTACAGACTTAGTCAAAGCCTGGATAGTGACTTGTGGCTTAATCACAAAGATGATAAAGAATGGGAAAGTTCATTATAGTGGGATCACTCTAACTCCCCTTTCTTAGGAAAGGGGGAGCGGCAGATCCTGTCTGAAGAGCAACAAGGGGTAAAACTGCTACTGGCATTTCCCTTGCTTTCTCAGAGAGTCAGCTTGCTTAGTTTCTTGGGGGCTGCATTCTTTTTAGTGGGACACTGGGGTTATGGGATGAATCCAGTCTGAACAGCTGTTGGTGCATGCCTTCAGGATGCTGAAATACTTACCTTGCATATATGCAAGAGAACCTTACACACGCCAAAAGAGCGAGCTTCACAAGCTTTTGCAGCACTGTGAATCATAAGTTATCCCCTTCAGAGTACAGTTGCCAGGGAAATAAGAATTGGAGATGACTTGCATTCCTGCTTTGAAGGCTTGAGTAGTGCATTTAAGAGATGGGTTTTAATGCTATTGAGTCTTTGTCTATGGGATCTTACAGCATGTAATTCTTGATGAGAATTGTGTAATATGAGTAATGGACTCCTGTGATCTGAAATTTTTTTATGGTGTTAATAAAATGCAATCCCACAGTAATGCTGCTTTTCACTGCAAAAATGTAAATACAACAGCTGAAGCAAATCCAGCTGTAATACAAGCCTATGAATAGTATGACATAGGCTGCATAAATTCTTAACCCAAGATGTGCATAGACAAATTGTAAATGCCAGGCAAGATGTACTATTTTTCTTCTGTGTATGTGTGTTCAACCCTTTGTGCAGCTAAAACTAGTCTGGTTCCAGGCATATGGTAGCCAAGAATATTGCAAGTGAATAGAACAAACACATTTTTGACCAAGACTAGTTAGTATAGGAGCAGTTAGTGGTGAGATTTTTGTACTGGCCAACAAGTTTACACTTCTGTCACTTGAGGTTCTTCTATTGATCTGGAATTTACAGTAGTGCTATAATGGTGCTCAACAGCTAAAGTTTGAACTGCCTTGTTTTACAATTCATGAAAGCATAATGGGTTATCTGTGATTGCTCTAGGAATACTGGAGTCCACTTTCATTACTTGCTTTGTCTATTCCAAGCTGAGAATTTCTGTTGCAAGTTGAACATCTGCAATAAGTTGCCACATGTTGTAGTAAAGAAGCATAAACACTTGACATCTTGTTTTTAAATGAAGGGGACACCAATATTAGTTATTGATCAAGTAGGAAAAAAAAAAACTTAAAACTATTCTTAAATGAATACTCTGGCTTTGTTGATTTAACCTAAAGACTTGAAATCACTGGAAGATGCAGCAGTTCTCTCATCAGCTGTATAACACTTAATTGTGCTTCACACAGTGTAGTAGATTGATGTAATGATGCTGAAAAAGACTATTCATTCTTTTAAAGTGTCTGTGTCAACTTGAAATCATATTCCCAAAACTCAGTTTGTTTTCCTGATTGCAAGGAAGATTAATGTTTCTTAAAGTATTTTATGGCTGCTTTGTGAAACAAACTGACAGAATGAAGTGATAGACTTACAAAAAGAAGATGTCGCTAAACATGAAACTTCATCGGAAACAAAACTGAAAAACCTGTGCTGAATTTATAACCAGGAGTTCTGAGAGTTTGGTGCTTTAACATACAGTTATGGAAAAAGTGAACAGGCAATAGGGAAAGAAGATGATAGCTATAAAAGCAGCATTTCTTAACTAGGAACTTTAAGACTTGTCCTTTTTATAGTACAAATTGTGAGAGGTCCTCAAAGACTGTTAAAAGCAAACAAAATCTGTGAAGTCAAAATGTGACTGCTTTCCTCAGAAACCACAGCAAAACATGCAGTTAGAAACTTGGTACCAGCTGGCAGACAGTTGTGTAAAAGTGTGAGATCATCTTCCATACCATCCAGCAGCAATTCATAAAATAATTCTAACATGAAGTAACTTTAGACTGTGTTTCCAGAAGCATTATTTCTCTGACTGTAAAGAAATTATGGATAATTACTGTGCAATGTCCTCTTGTCCCAGTTTGGTAATAGCTGTATGCCTCAGAATTCCTTTTTCTATATTTCTGCTGCTGATATGCTGAAAGAGCAGTAACTTGGCAAAAGCTACAGTAATATTCTGTTAAATCTGCTCTGTAGGCAAGTCAAAACCATTATTTATAATAGGATCTCTAATAAAGGCTGGCAGCTGTTAAATGTGAGGGTATCCTGGAGTTAACGTTGCACCCCTCCCTGCCTGCTGCTATGGAGGGAGTATTGAGTTTCCTTACCGTAGTTGATAACCTTCCACTGCTCTGGTATTCAGTGTACTTCAGCTGAAGCAGGGCATTTTTGGCTCAAAGCATGCCTGGTCTTTACAAGACTAGTGGTCAGACTTTTATTAAAATCTTAAAATTTATTATTAATTTTTTTTTAAATTAAAAAAAGAAGCCTTGCCTTTCTCTCTGCCTTTATAAAGTACAGCTATTACAACTTCTGTTTCTCTGTTCTTCATGGCTCAGGTTTCTCTTCCCCCAACTTACGCTTCCATTATACTGTTTAATTAGTACATTCCTTCTAGCTTAAGGCTATTTGTCTTCATAATGCTTTAAAACTGCTGTACTTCACTTTGTGAAGTGTCAGTTGTGCATCGCTGGCCTCAGTGGTATAATCTGATTTTTGTTGTTCATGACAATACTAAGTTTCTCCTGAATATTAACTTGCTAATTAGCTGCCTTACTTCTAACATCTTGCTGAAGGTCCACTCTTCTTCCTATAGACTACAGTAATTTAGACAAGTACTGTAGCCAGCCACAGGATTATGTGCATGATGAGAGTTTGGGACCGGATAACAAATTCCTGGCATGTTTCCCAAATAACTTCATGAAGATGCAGCTTAAGCCAGTTCAAAAACTGTATCTAATGTCCACAGCAGACAACTGAGAATTATTAGGGAGAGATGCACTTTGAACTACCATGACTGTAAAGAGAAGAATTTACAGCTGCCAGGATACTGTAAGCCATGCTTTTATTTCTGCTCGAGCTTAGTACGCTATGTAATGGATTTCACATTTCATCTACGATGCATTCACTTCTCTGCATTCAGATTTAACGCCAGACCAGGTCTCAAGGGGGCAGGTAACCAGACCAATCAAACACAACCACCACACCCTCAGACTGGGTTTTTAACTTTCCTTTAATGACAAGACAATGCCTGTGGAGGAGAAGCACGGTACAGAATAGCGGCGGTTCTGCATACCCAATACTGAAGAAGCACCTGTGCAACTTAGTGGGGTTTGTTACAGTCACATACCCAAACTAGGGGTGGCTCCATTTATGCTGTTATGGCAGCTCTGATTTTCCATGTGGTTTAAATTGTATGGTATCTACACAAGGCTGATTCTCTTGCCAGAAAGGGCTCTTGTTTTCTCCAACTTGATACCTTGTGTTTACCAAGGCTTGCACTTTGAGACATGCAAGCACCTGAAAAGCATTAACTATTGGCATGGTATAGCTTATTTTCTTAAGATGCAGGTAAGAGATACCATCTCTTGAAGAAGTACTACCTGTACTTTCCCTGGTGTGGTTCAAGACAGCCCTAATATGGTCCTTTGACGTGTACACAATCTTTAGAACGTCTCTATTTCCCAGAGTCCAGGTGAACTTGTGTTATGTAATGGTAAGCTACACCAAACTATCAGTACCTTTCACATTACCTGTTATGAGCATCTTTACAAGTACCTAACTGCAGCAATATTGATGGTAGCATTTACTTAAATTTGTCCATTTTTTTTTTTCAGCTTACATTTCTTCCACCTCAGTTCCATCGCTCTTTCAAAGTCAGTTCTGACTTTTTTGCTGAACACTAAAAGTACTATGTAGTTGTAGCCTTGCCAGAAGGAATTAGGTAAAACACTGCGAAGTGTTTTGGTGAGAGAGAAGTGTTCTGGACAGATAGTAAGCTTATTCATACATCCACCATCTGGTCTTCTGCATTTCTGGAACAGAGTATAATTATGTGCTGAAAAAAAGGATCCTTAAAACTGGCTGCTTTAAATAGGTTCACTCTCATTTTCAGATGGCTTTTGTCTTTCTTTTTTCTACCAAGTTCTTTAAGAAGAATTCACCTAATTAAAAGGCAAAAAAAGCACAAAAATGATTCGTAGGTATTTCAGTGCAATAAAGCAAAACAATACACATTTAATGCAGGTATTCTATTCTACAATACAATTGTTCTTACGAGTATTCTATAGCAATTCAATTCTATACCACAGCACTTTCAATACATACAGCAAGGATGTTAAAAAAAACTAAACAACAAAACCCAAACAAAACCCATAACCCAACAAACAACCCCTCCACCCCCAAAATCCTGATTTTTCCTCAGGCCCAATTTTACGATATAGCTCTGCTTCTCTGTGCTTTCCAACAGGCAAAGGTGAAGTGATTTAATCAAAAATTAATTCCTATTTCATAAAGTATCAGCAACTTCTAGTGAAACCTGCTATAAATCCTGTTTGAGCTGGCATTAAAACAGTCTGAGATGCAAGGTGCCCCAGATGAGTGTTCTCTGCTCCCTCCTTAGGAAAAAGCAGGATGCTGGACCTACACAACAGTTCCATTAATATAAGTTGCTACTTAATACCCAGTGCTTTGTCAGAAAGAGCACTGCCATAAATGTGTCTAATTATTTCTAGGGTATTGTAAATAAATTCTGCCTAAAGCAACAAAATTACATCACAAACAACAAAGGGCCCCATTAAACCCTGAAGTGTCCAAGAGGCAGAATGCAAAGGAAAGCTTGCAAAGTGGGTACCCTTTATCCTGCCTCGCGCATTAAATATAGTACAAACTAGGTTTGGCAACAAATTAGCTTAGGCAGCACAGCAATTGTACAAATACCAATTACTGTCATACTGATGCATTTAGATGACCTATGAACGACAGTAAGTGTAAATAATTTAAAAAATAGTAAAAAAAAAACCTACATGAGGTGTCCTTGAGCTAAGGTGAGCTTTGTTGCATATTACTTCACCGTTTTAACTTTATATAATAAAATGTTATGTGCTAAAGAATCTAATGCTTTTCACTAGTTTACCTGCTTTATAGGAGGAGCGCACTAAAGGCCCGCTAGCCGTGTAATGGAATCCAAGATCATTTCCTACTTTTTCCCAGTACTTAAATTTTTCGGGAGTTACGTACTCCTCAACCTGAGTGAAAAGAATTAGTTTTGATCAGGTATTAATGCAAAGGAAATGGCTATAGCTAGCATGTAGTGACGTGAAACACAGTTATATTATAAGTTCAAAATTTTACACTCCAAAACTTGGAGCAGTCAAGTCACAAACTGAATTTTCTCCTTGCTTTCTACCAAAAGAATGTATTTTATTTGCTTTTCACATTTAGCTGAAAAGTTTAGAATTTAATTTCTAGTTGTTGCTTTATCATTTTCTTCACTCTGTTTTTGAATGGTCCTTTCGAGCAAACCTTCTTTTGTCCAAGTTAGTAAAAAAAAATACAATAGTCCTACAAATCTTTTCACTACAGTTATTTCAGTGAAACACGGTAACAGAACAGAGACTCAAGCTCTGGACAGATTACAGAACAAGCAAATGGTAATTTCCCCAGCTGAAGTGGCACCATGAAGGGAGAGCCTATGAGATAGTGAAGGGGAGCTGGCTTGAGCCATTATGTTTGAGACATACAGTGAAGCTCTTGTTTTCCAGAATCGTGACTCAGCTCCAGCTGTCTCCCCAGCTAATAGCAGCAAGTAGCAATGGGAAGTCTGCAGAAGATGGAAGGGATTAGATAGCTGAGGTCATTTTTAGTGAAGAGTCCATAACAGATGAAGATCAGGTTAAACAAGGAAGGAAATTTTTCCCAACATCCTTAAGGTAAGGATGCATATCAAGCCTCAATTTAGAAAGTGGAAACTTGACTGTGCGAGGTATAGACCATAACGCTGCCTGTAAATTAAAGGCATTTTTACCTTTAGGTGACGTTTTGTTGGTTGCATGTACTGTCCTAGCGTCAAACAATCTACATCCGCTTCCCGCAATACTGTGAAAACAAAATTCCCTGTTAGTGGCAGAAGGATCACGACGGACGGTCAGCAATTAGTAAACACCCTCCTTCCAAGTCTGAACAAAGGTCACTCTGCAGCGCCCTGCAGGGGTTACATTCTGCTCTCCAGCAAAGGGAACTTGCAACCTCCATGAGCGGTAGCCACGTACCTCATTCTGAGCTCCATGCTGCTGCAAGACCTGAGCTATCTAGCTTAAAGCTAGAGAGAATACCATTGCGCTGCGCTCGCTGCAGTCACGTGTCTCACTGCAGAGATGACACGCTCTTGTCTGTTTTATCTTACGGCTTTTCATTGTGTCTTTAGGTCAGAGCCTTCATTTGACAAAAAATGGATGTATGCACATACACTTGGCACCTCTCCACTGTTTCAAGCGTCCTCACGCTGAGAAGAGCTATAAATCCATGGGAAATTGCCAACATCTTTTGCCAGTTTTGCACACTTCAGGATGTCAGTTTTGATGCCTGCAGAATCTCATAAACTGCTAAAATCTGAGTACATACTAGAATCAACATACAGCAAATGAGTTCAGGCAGTCTACCTACAGAGGGAAATCCAGACACCTGATAGTCAGCTAGCCTGAAGAATTATGTTCACTGCAGCTAGTGGGGTATTGCAAACAAAGGGATGGCTAAGGAATCAGCTTAGTATCTCCATATATTTTCTGGCTACTTGGGCTGGTTGCCCCCAAGTCAAATAGAAAGAGAAGGCTGTGTTTTGATTACAACGTTACACTCACTGTTACCCTGGACTCTGTTTAGATCGATATGGTTCTGTAAAGAAACTGGTTCAATACCAGCACATTCACATGTTCTTTAACTCCTACCCACAGGAGGGAAGGAGAACAAAGTTAGAGTAACTGAACGAATGTGGTAAGTAACAGTTTGTCTCCAAATACATCCATGAAAGCGGCCTGAAAACAAATAGCACCAAATCTGAACTTTCATACTCTTGTGGCTAGGAAATGCTAGGCAGGAAGAATGGGAAAATCAGGAACTGTAATTTTATGGTCCAGATTGTGGGACAGCTGCAGAAAAACTAGACTATATCACTGCATTCTAAATATGGGTTGTTGTACACAAAATAAAGTACCAGGTAGATGTTCTTTCCGGATATGGGAGAAATGCCATAGGATTTATGAATTTCTTCTTGCAAGCGCATTGCATTCGCTTACCCCTGTGAAATCTTCTCCTCTTAAAAATACATTTGTATGAAAACATAAGAACATGCTACAACTCCAAAGATGATAACTTTTTTTATATCTAAGTAAGTTGAAATAAATTATTGTAATCAATAAGGTCTGCTATTTCTAAAAAGGAATGCACAATAAGGCAACTATGTTGCAAGCCCATTATTTACGTATTGCAAACATAAGAATATTAATATAGTCACACAAGGACAGTTATAACTTCCATTGAGATCAACAGGAGCTGGATCTACCTGTCAAACTGAACCTGAAAGCCATACGAAGGCAAAATACTTCAGAAGTTCAATCTTTTATGGTTTTTTCCCCCATAAAGCTTAGCAAACATCTCCTGCACCAGCAAACTGATTTGCATGTAGAGGCAAAGATGCTTACAACTGTTTTCCAACACAACAGAATTCATACCGGTGAATTTTGGCATGTATTTCGATACGAACTTACATTTCATTGTTGAATATACTTGTTCATCTGTCTCGCCTAGCCCCAACATAATGGAGGTTTTAGAAATGACGCCGGGCTGGACCTCTTTAGCGTGCTTCAGCACACGTATGGATTGCTCGAAGTTGGCTCGGGGATCACGGACCTTCCTTTTCGTGTTTTCAGCACAAGGGGGAAAAACGCATGGAAGGGTGCACAGAAGTTAAGAGATGCCCAGAAAGGTGCGTTCTGCTAGTTTCTACGACGTGAAAATGGCAACTTGCAGGCTTTAGCACTTTAGTTTGACACCGGCTGAAAACGCCCCGAAGAAGCATCACCAGCCACGGGACGCACCCCAGCCTCGTGCCGCTTTGAGGGCAAAGCCGGGCTCCTCGGCCCCGCCCGCGGCCACCCTTGCCCCCGTGGCCCCGCCCAGCCGCGCCCCCGCGCCGGGGGTG